ATTCTGGTACACGGGATTCCCGGGAGCTGCCAGCTCACACAGACCTTGCCCTACCAAGCTCTGGTGAATGCATACCGCGCAGAGGGCACTCCACAGCGGAAGAGACACAGCACATGATACACTATTGACACAGGTGCTCATGCACCCCTGGGCTGGGCAAGACACCAATCTTGCATCATCCTGCAGCAACACGTGCATCATCAAGAAGCGAACGCAGCCGTTTTGTGCATCATCAAAACGTGAGCACAGCCACCACACCTGGGCGCGGCTACCCAAAGCAGGAGACACCAGGGAGATAGGGCTGTTGTGTGTCGATCTGCTCTTATTGAGGCTGTTGTGGCAGTAATGAGGTGGGCAACACACAGCATCCGTCCACCAATCGAGCAGCAGAAAATCGGCTTGTCCCGGATAAGGAGGCACAGCTGAGCTTTGACATGATCGGCTTATTGTGGTATTTTGTTGCTGGTTTGCTGCTGCTGCTGCTGCTGGTCTGCAGGGTTTGCTGCTGCCTGGCTGGCTGCTGCCTGGTTTGCCTAGTTTGCTGCTGCTGTTGCTGCTACTGCGCACCCTTCGTTGCTTAGGCTTACAACCTTTGGTGCACCCCACCTTTACTAAATCGGTTGCTGACGCGGTTTTGTTCAGCATGGTCATGAGCCTAGTGTTTCGATCGCGTCGCGCTTGTGTCCAATCTAATTATGCTTGTCCTGATCAACACTGGCGTGGGGTGCGTCCAGCATCGTTTGAGAGGACCAGCTTGTTTGTAGTGCAGTGCAGTGTTGCAAGTAATGAGATGTAGTGAGGGAACATGCCAAGTGATGTAACCCAGGCCATCAGTGTCGATCAGGGTTTTCTCGCACATGGTAAGTTTCAGTGCTCAACGTCACCACGCCTTCGTGCTCGTTCCGCGCCTCATCCGTGCCGCGCCGTGCGCAATCGACCCACCACCGCGAGGCTCTGGCGAGTGCCGTGTGGGAGCGCCGGTCCCGGCCCATGGAGATTGGGTCGTGGTCGTTGGGTCGGCAGAGTGGGTGGTAAATGCATCCTGAAACCAGGTCCGACCTCGGGGACTCCTGATAGCCTAAAACCGAGAGCGTCCGGAAGCTGGGACATCCTTTTCGGGGATTTCGGATCCCGAAATCGGGCATTTCTGATACCACGATACCCAAACCGCTGATAGCCAGTTGCAAAGACTGGAGACCGAGCGAAACGGGTCAAAACCTGGAGTAGCTTGACCCACAGCCAGTGGTAACTGGGATCCACTGACTGGGTGTTGCTTGGCAAATCGATGTGGATTTATGATTCCCACAAAGATCGAACGAACATGAGTCAACCGGCTTGGTCGGAGGGGGAATTCCCAAGTCTTTGCGTGTTTTGCTGTGCATTCCTTTTCTTGCAATCAATGTGTTTTTTGTTTTTTTTTTGGCGCGTTTTTGCATGTGAGGGTGAGTGGAACAAACATGAATCAACAATCATTGGCAGCGGAAGTGTTTGTACAAGCTGGGGTGTTTTTTTTGGTGTGCGACTTGGAATGTGTGGGAGGTCCTGACGGGGGCCAGAGGTTCAACGGAAAGAAACTTGCCAAGTCATTAACATAAAGCCAGGTGCTCATGCTTTTCAGCAACGATCAAGGTTCCTTTCTGAGCTACATAATGACTCCCTGGGCCTGTGTAGAAGCAAGAAAAGGTCCCCCTTGATGCCTTGATCATCCCCAGCTACAGGCCAGTACACTCTTTGAGGTTATCAAATTGATCCTCGGCCCTTCGTTGAGAAGTACAATGTTTCCTTCGAAGCATCGAAACCCCAGCCATCAAGATGTAGTGGAAGCATCTTTCTTCCCAGAAGCGCTGGCCGCCGCTGGCCGCCGCTGGCCCGGTCGAAAGGAGCAGTTGGCGTGCCTCATGTCAAGAGTTGCCCTTTCAAGCAACCACCTCCACGAAGGTTTAGACTCTTTAGACATTCAATAGACATTCAATGACATTCATTCATTCACTACAATTAAAGAAGCATGGCTTCGATCGTCAAAAGAATTTACGAGACATGACCAGAGACCATGAGCACTGCTGGCTTGGACGACATCCTTCACAAACCTTAAACTGCCAGACAATTGACTTCTGAAGCGTTCCCCTTGACGTTGATACTCAAACATTGACCACTTGCAGTGCACAGATTCTGGAGGGTCTGGACCGGAATCGACCCGGACCATCCCAACAAAACCGGCCATATGGCGCCGAAACCGTATGCCGCATCCGATCCGACCGAAAATTGGAGGGCACGAAAACAAGATAAAACAAGTAGCCAAAGTCCTTCGTTCCTTGAGCATCCGACGCCGCGCCTTTTTGGTGACGCTTTAGCTGGCGAGCTCATGAGCCGCACTTGCTGCTGTCCCCACTGGGAGGCGACCGGGTGGAGGTGGACGGTGGACGCAACACCAAGTTGGCCTCTTCTGAATTCATTGTTTGGGGGGGACACCACCGGTGTCAGCGAGAGATAGCTAGAGTTCTTAGGGAAGGACACCATGTCCGCGACCACTTCGGGCAGCTTCCATGGTCATGTGTATTTCAGCCACTTGGCGCTGTACAGTGATATCCTGGAAAGAAGTGATGCCTGCAAAGAGTGATGAAGTTGATGAAGTGATGACGAGCCATCGCGTAGGGTTTCATTTTGGGCCAGAAAAAGGAGACTTCTGTCTTGTGAGTTGCAGATGGCAGACGAATCATCCGATGATTGACAGTGTGAGAGTGTGCTCTTTGAGGTTTGCACCTGAGTTTGCTTTGGCGAAGTCTTGACCGGGAACCGCTGGTGACGAACGATCCGGCTGGACACTGGACACGGATCCTTTTCGATCGGATTATCTGATATGATCATTGCAAAGCTGATGCGCCTATTGCTTGTAGCCCTTTACAAATCGCTGCTGGAGCACTAGCACATTGCCCCGCACTACCGAATCGCGCGCGCTGTTCCGGGCTGCAGGAAGATGACGAGGGTGAGATCTTCTTGGATTCCAACCGCGAGGCGAGAGATAGCGAGAGCAACCTGTTTTGGAAGTCCCCAGGTGGGACGACCATCACAGGAGTAATGACGTGGTTGTGTGATGTTGCGGATGTGTTGTGTGTTCTTATCATTCTTTATCCGTGTTGATTTATCCATGTTCTAAAACCCATGAGTTGGTATGCTACTTATTATATAATTATTGTTTTCCCTGTTTTTTCCGGTCACTCTTGAGTTCAGGTGCTTCATCGAATGTCCTCTTTAAACAAAACGAGATGGCCGTTCGGGGCCAGATGTCCTGGGTTGTTGACTTCGCAGTGGATCAGTAGAGCAGTGGATCAGTGGGTTTGCCGTCACCAAGGGGGGAAAGCCACATGAAGCAACATTCGATGTACTGATATTGAGTGCCTCGGCTAGACGCCAGACGCCCCCGACGGCTGGGTGGACTGGTCTGTTTTGTTCCGAACCTTTTTGCAGGGGATGCTCGGAACGCCGGCGGTGAGGTCTAGCTGCCTAGCTCCCTAGTTTAATGAGTTTTAATGCACACCAGCTTTGTTATCAAAAGTATTCAAAAGTCAAGATACATGCACTATTAGAATCATTACTTAACTTTGTTTACGGCCTTTTTGAATACATTTCTTGAATACAAAGTCGTGGGGCCTCCTGCTGTGCTACTATGGAAGGCATAGGAGACGCAAGAGCTAGGTGTCCCAATCTAGCAATTGACCTCCCAGTGTCGCAGTCGGCGCCTCTGAGCCATCCACCACCTGGGCCTAATCCTGCGCGCAGACCGGTGCATCAAATCGCAGGATGCTCGCTTTGACAATCTTCCGATCGTGCTGATCCTCGTGCGGGGAGCCTCGTGCAGAGAGCCTCCCTCCGACCACGCGGACGGATGAAGCATCGGCTTTGGCCGGCGGCTGGGTGTTTTGGAGCCGAGCCAATCGACCGAGTACCCGGAGTTGAAATCTGCTGAGCACTCAGATGGACCCTGAAAACCACTGGTTTTGGTAGAGGAAAACCATCCTTCCAGGGGGGGCCAATCTCAGGGTACATGGGTACCCTTCACCACTGCAGTTTCTTTGGAATTACTTTTCTTCGAGTGATCCCCACCATGACATTTCAATCATTTGTTTCATGCCATCCTGAGGAGCATGTTGCCATGGTCGTAATGTGGTAACAATGATGCCTGCAAACTCGGGTGCCAAACATGCAGCATGGCCGGGCTTACACAGCATCTTGGACATAAAACGGCAGCCAGGCATCTCCATCCAACTCCAGTTCACTTGCGCCTTCTGCTGACAGTGTGTGAGCTTGACATAACTCGACGATAGCTAGGCATAGCTGTCAAAGCTTGGCCACGAATCAAACGCTTTTTCATCGTTTCCGCCTGACTGATTGTCTCTGAAGCTGCTGCTGGCTCCTACAAGTCATCAAGTGGCAGCTTCTTGATCAAATCATTTTTTGGCACTTCTGTGACAAGTGGCCTACGCTGTTTGCAATAACCCCTTCCAAGTTTTCCTCGGCACCACCCATGCGACAACGATGAAGTTTTCCTTTGGCACTTGCCTTTGTTGAGGCTTGGTAGTGCCCACTGCGATCGGGAGCTGGCGGTTGAGATCCGCTTGTGCCCACTGCGATCTGGCGCTTGCAGTTGAGGTCCGGCAGGGCCCATTGCAATCGGGGGCTGATGGTTGAGGTCACTGCAATCTGGCACTTGCTGTTGAGGTCCGGTAGTGCCCATTGTGAACTGGCACTTGCTGGTGAGGTCCGGCAGTGCCCGCAGCGATACCCACTGCGATTTGGCGCTTGCTGTTGAGGTCCAGCAGTGCCCACTGCGATCTGGAGCTGGCAGTTGAAGTGCGGTAGTCAAGAAGACAAGGAGAGGAGGAGGAGAAGAGGAGGAGGAGGAGAAGAGCTCTGATAAAATTGAACGACCCTCACGCGGCAGGTGGGGAAAAACAGACCCTTCACTTTTGACTGAGGGACCATGGAAAGTACCAGATTTTTTGGGCTCAAGCTCCAGGATCCTGATAAACCACCAATGGGGGTTGACTCCTGAGGACACACTGCAAGGTCGGAATGTATTATTATGGTCCATGGTGGATTTGGACTGTGAGATATGTAGGGTGGGAATTCCTTGCTTAAGGAATGCGTGTGATCCCAAGTGCGCGGAAGGGATCCATGGGATATCATGGGATGCCATCAATCAATGTTTGGCAAGCGGGTTTCACCCCGCTCGTTTCAATTTCGACACGACTTGATTGAGGAAAACTCATCCCTCTCACACACACACATGCTATTCCAGCGAAGCACTGAGTGGCTCGCGTTCACTGAGATCGATGTTATCTCGGGATAGCAGGATTATCATTGTGTTCAAAGATGTTGGTGAGGTGAGGCAGGCATGCATGAGGTGGTTCTGCTGTGATTTTCGATCGAGGTCAGTGAGCATCTTGAATACAATGGTGGTCGTGGCCTCTTTCGTCTTCAATTCCCTCTCTATGCTGGAGCGCTCGTCGGACGTCCTCTCATTCTGTGTAACTGGCTGTGGGTCATAGCACCGGGGGCCTCAAGTTTGACCGCTGAACATGAACAGAATCGAATACCAAGGAGGCCCACCTACCAGGGTGAAAGGGGCTGCTTGGGTTCCTTACAGTTTGATGTACCAGTAGAAATTCCTTAAGCCGACGGGATGCCCTGCCCATTTTGGGAGGTGCAACCTCTGCAACGACAAGGCTGTTAGTTCTTGGAATGAGACCATACATCCGGGGGGGGCTCACACAACGGGGGCATCACAAAATCATACAGAATCTAAAAAACCCGTGTGGAGGTCAAAACCCAGAAATGTCCAAGGTACCCCGGTCGGTGACCAACTGATTGCGTGCAGTTCCAAAAACGAAGAGGAGTGACTGTGCCTCAACTGCCGCAACACTAATATATAAATGATATGGGTTGGAATCATTTATGGGTGGTGATACACTATAAATAGGTAAAAATAGACGACCTGTGAGGGCAACCCGTGGTTTTTGATTAGAATTAGCTACGGTATACATAGATCGTTAAACAGGTCATGCTGCGGTCCACACTGGCTGTCTCCAAAAGAGCTGCACCTGGGGCGCCCGCCCTAACAAAATGGAACTAGCATCTACTCTCCCTGGAACTAACATGGAAGTGGAAACCCCTTTGTTTGTAGAGGGAAATGGTCACATACCCGGTTACATAGACATTGTTACATCCATACCCGGTTTCTATCCAAGGGCTCAAGGGGTGGGTGGGTGTTGGCACGGACACTAAAACGCCACGCCACGCCCCGGTGCGTGTTGTGTAGAGGATCGTCTCAGGATTTAGAGGCGATGGCATCCACTGCCAGTTCTAGGGAGTGTAACAACTCTTGAGTCTCGCAGTCTCGCAAGAACTCTTGCAACAAGTCTAGCTCCGACACATAGCTGGCCCAGCCTAGCTGCAGTAGCTCAGCCACCAGCCAACCAACTCCTCAAACTCCTCACATTGATGGGATTAGATTTTTCCTTTTACATGCATTGCGCACATTGTGACGTTTCCAGTCGCACTGATTGGGTGATGAGATGACTGCTTTAAGCTCCAAGTTCTCATTTTGCTGGAGATGTGCCTCCCAAACGGCAGGACGTGGCCGTCGCAGGAGTCCTGGTGGTGCGGAGCCTCGGGAATCGGCGGAAAGAACATGCGGTGTGGTCTGTCCCAGAAAGCTGGAACAGTCGGTAGACAAGTATCACTATTTTAGAGAAAGGTCTGGAATAAATCCAAGGTATTATTGCAGTAGTCATTCAAAGAGACCTTTTCCGAAATAGCGGGAAGACTTCAGGTCTACTTTCCTATTCCAACTACGCACCCATATTCTTCCCCGAGCAACGGGGTGTGTAGGTCGCCCTGGCCTGGTTGAAGTAATTAGTTTTTGTTAGGGTCTCCCTGCTCTATGACATGATGGGCTGTTTGATATTTCAATATATACTGTATAATTAGGCAATCCGGAACCCTGGAGAAATCTCAAAATGCATCACCCTCAGCCAGGTCAACCGTTTTGACTGACACCGTGCCTAATAATATTTATATACATGTCTAAGGAAGTGCTCAGTAGGGCCACATTTGCATTACAACGGGCGGACCTGACATAATGAAGGCACAAAAAGTGTACGGATCACAATGACGGTCATGCCAACAAGAGCAGTTGACATGACTGTCATTGTGATTCGGACCCAACATCCACAAGATGTCAGAGTGACATGTCATAGAACCAATTCCTCACTTCCCCATTGAGGCTATCGTCCATTCGCTCTACACAATCATTTGTCGAGGCAAGCGGTGAGCGGTTTCGGCAGCGACCAAGTGATTGCAGCTGTCCAAGTGAGTTCTTTGAAATGAACATAAATGAACCAAGTCTATCGCCCAGAAACAGTTTGGCTGATTTCGTCACAAAACCGCCGGTTTGTTGCTTGGCATGTTTCGTTGCTCCAGTGTTTGATGGCCCAGTGTTTGGAGGAGTTATAGCTGGCCCCTTTACCCCTTTCCGCCGCGTGTAGAGGTGGCCTGTTGACATGAAATCCGCCTTGGATACCCCTCGGATCCACGAGAATCCAGTGTTTTCTTCATATCCCATCGCACACGGCCGCTGATTCCATCGCCCGCGGCCGCGCCTACCGGCTTCGGTCGGCGCCCCGGGGTAGCCGCGCGCGTCAACGCGATCGTTTGGAGCACCTGTGGCGTGTTTCCCAGAGGTCGAAGAGCCAGACACCTGTGAAACCCAGGAGGTCAGACACACCAAGAGAGGTTGAGAGACCATATAATGACCCTGTAGTGGTACATATGGGATTGGCTATAGGGCTGTTCAACCTCTCTTGGCATTTTCCCAGCTGAGTGGGGGACTTTCGACCACCTGGTCACTCGCCCAGACACTGCCAGTTGTCTTGGGCTCCAAGCACTTCTGGCAGCTCACCTGTGTCCCTTGGACGCGTGCCGAGCGGTCAGGAGTTCCTAGGGATGGTCCACTGGGGAATGGGAATGGGATATACCATACCCAACCCCTTTTCCTTTCGCCACAGCGTTCGCTGCGGACCGCGCCTGCAGACGCGGATTGCGGACCACTGGGTTGTCCAGTTCGACAAGATGACCGACTGTTGTGTTCGAACAGTTCCTTTTCGGGTCACCGAGTCAGACCATGTTTTTTGCCCTTTGACTCACGGGGAGGGGGGAGGATAGATCTTTGATAGTAACTTGAACAGTGACCTCGGTGCGACGCCGGATGAAGACATCGTTGCGACGCCCGACTCTCGATGCCATCCATAAGCTAAAAACAATTTAGGCGACTCCAGACTCCAGGTCCAGTAATTTTTGGAAACAATCTCTTTGCACCAACAATAAGGTAGTCAATAAGGTGTGTGTTGTCGACACAAATCGAAAACATCATCGAATACGATATTTTTTGTGCAACCACTAAGTTAGAAGAAGGTGATATCCTGGCCATCCTGGCCAATGATTGTGTAGACTAGGCTGCAGTGAAGGCAAGGAAGATCAAGTTAAAACAGAGACCTAAATGACTTAAGGACCATTGGCAGGACAATTAAGGACCATTGGCATAAGACTCAGATTGAGGAAACAACATGAAACAACACATGTCCGATACTGGCACTTCACGCATGTTCCGCTTCAGACGGCCCTCTCAGGCTGCCGGTACCGAACAAATCCCGAGCATAGCGGAAAGCTCCGCTCTCCGCCGCAAACGTGTAGACACGGGGGATTGAAACTTGCAAACAAGTTCGAAGCTTGCAACGATGACCTTGAAGATACCCAACCCATCCCAACTCCATATCCTCTGAAAAGATGGCTAGAGCGGCAACTCCCTCACCCATTTGGTGATGGGTATCCAGGCCGCCCACGCGCACGACACGGACTCCCCAGAACCGTCGCTTTCGCCGGTCAGGTCACCTGGGAGGTCCTTCTCTCAAGCACCAAGCTCCTAGGTGGGCCGCGAAGCTATTTGCCGCGCCCAAAATATGCAGCTGATTTGGTAGTTTTTTATTAATAGTAGCATTTTCCTGGGCGGGACGGGATTCTTGACTCTGGGTATATAGTGGGTATAGATCCAATAGTCGGATTTAAATGATTTGTTCCCCCAAGACTTTTGGATTGGTCCGAGTGGATTCCAAGATATTCCAAGGATCTTTGTCCATGGGCTTTCCGACGTGCGTCCGGTCCGAGACGGGCGGTGGGTGGCAGCCCAGCGCCACAGCTCAAAGCGCCACGCGCCAGCGCCACTTCCCCATGTAAACTGACACAAACTGACCATACCAACGGTCATGCCGTCAACGAGTGTCCACGACCATGCCGGGGTTCGGTCGGCGACCAGAAAAAAGATACTCCAAGGCCTCAGAAGCCTCGCGTCGCCGGAAGAGTCTTCCTTCCAAGACGGGTTGCGGAGCCCACCCTAGAGGTCAAAGATCCCAGTTTACATCATGTTGATCATAAGTTAATCATAAGTTGATCATACAAAAGCAAGCAAAAACACTAAGTACAGTCAATGAGGTTTTCAGGACCAGGTTTGGAACTGGGTCAGACTGGACCTGTAGGGCCATGACTGCCAAGCCTCACAGCCTGAGCTTCGAGCGCGAGCGCGCTTCCAAGTGCAGGTAGCATTTTGGTGCTCGTGGTGGTGCAAGTGGAAGAGTTGGAGCATGAGGTGAATGGCGAAACGCCGCTGGGACGGTCAAAAGATGTCAAAAAGGAATGATCATCTTCCAGTCGCCACTGGAAACGCCACTGGTCGGTCAGTCCATGCTTGGAGAGTGTGGATCGGGCATCAGCCAGGGTGCAAGACTGTCGCAGTCGGAACGTGCTCACGTCGGATGGATCCAAAAGGAGAACGAAGGATCCGATGTCCGGGAACGCACCGGTTTCAGAACCAGCTCCTCAATATGCTGTAAGGTATACCAACTGTAACTATTACTGTAACTATATACTGTAAGGTCCTCAAACAATTTATATACTGTAACATACTGTAACTATAGCTCCTCAATCATTGCCAAACACCTAAGATAGACTCTTGATGAATAGAACCCACCATTTGGATGCGCTCACTTGGGGTCCTGGGACGCTTCTACCTCAGCAATGGTGGATTGTAAAACCCGTTCAAATGGGATACGGGATACGCACTTGCCATCGTCATGTCTCGTGCCCCAACAAAACCCCCTCCTCCTTGTCACATAGTGTGACGGCTACAGGTGGGTATAGCCCTTCATATGATTTCATGTGGGGCCACCCCTCAATAATAATATGGGGGAGGTTGATTATAAAAGATCTCTGACTCCAAATAGATAGACAAGTAGATCCCCTCTAAAAATGTATTGGAAGCCGTTTCTATATTACCTGGGATCCCCAATGAATGAGTCAGGCCACCTGCTGCGCCAAGGACCATGACGGTGTCCCGGCCAATGTTCTGGTGCTTTTTCGCGGCTCGGCATCACATCGTACTGGCAGGGTGCTTGGCATCAGGAACTTCATCAGTTTCATGTGAGGGGCGTGAAGTCAAACTGGCTGACAATATGAAGTGCCTTCAACATTGGCTTAGGATTACGGTTGCATAAGAGCGTTGCACTCATGTGCTGAAATGAGAAACATAGACATTTTGACCGTACCTCACATGTTGACAACGAGCATCGTCAGCGGCAACGAGCTCAGTTTGAAGGTGCATGATGGGGAACCCCGATGAACATGAATGAACCGTGCGAAACCCCACACTGAAAGGCTTGACAGGCAGAATTGAGAAGATGCACTCTCGATTCTCGAGCAAATTACAGATGCCTGATGGTTCTCGCGAAGAAACACGTTACTTGTCCCTTTGAACTTCGACATATATACTTCGACTTCGACGTGTTTTAATTATCCATAACCTCTGTGGCAGGGACTAGAGTCTGCTGCAATTTTACTTCCCCCTTGCTTCATGAAGGGCGAGGCCCAACAGATTCATACCACATGTGCCCTTTTCTTGTTGCCCGTTTTCCGCGCTGCCCAAATCAGGACAAATTAGGACAACAGCAACAACAACAACGACCACAACAAGAACAAGAACAAGGTACAAACAACAACTGCAGCCCAGAAGTCACAACATGTGCCAACGATGTTGGGCGGAATGTTTTTTTCTGTTTCTACCAACAACAACTTATCCTGGTGCCCCCCAAAGGCCCCACATGGAAGACGCCTTTGTCCTATTTTGTTCTCTACATAGCGTTGTCCACAAATCCCGAATCGTCCACATAGCGTTTGACTCATTTGGCTGTGGGGAGCTGGCACCAGGAGCCCCGAACTCACCAGGGTAGGATAACCTCCTTCTGGGTGGGAAGAACCAGGGACACCGGAACCGGTGCCATGACCCATCCCCACAGATATAGATCATTATAGATCAATGATTCTGCATGTCTTTGCATATTAAATAGTGGATGACCACCCACAGTGTGATCCATTTCTACACTTTGACTAACTAACATGGAAGTGGATGGCATGGCCTGTTGGATGACTATTCTCTACAAACAGGTGGTGAACTCCACTTCCATGTGATGTGTTCGTCAGGGGGTACATCATGAGAAACCTTGGCGTTCTCGTTGATTCGACCAATGCCCGAGGTGCTCTCCTTGATCGTCCCGAGGTGACGACCGTGGGTAACTGGGGGCGATGTCCAGTGTGTTCCAAGTCCCAACATGAAAGTACGTGTTTGGAGCGCAGAATCAAGATCCCATATTGCTATGGGATTCCAGTGTGTCCCAACACGGCCTAACGGGAAACGTTGAGGAACACCACTTGCCGGACTGTTGTCAGGGCATGCGTATGAAAGGCTGCAGGTCCATAACACTAGCCACTAGCCCGTTGGTTGAGGGTTCCCCTTTTGAGATGCAAACTCAATTCAGTGTCAGGTGATCAGCAGTGCGAAACGTGGACATCTCCACAGATTCCAATGATCTTGAACAAAGCCCACTTTCAGTGGTGGGTTCGGTCAAACCTCCGCACGTGCGGTTCCGGGAAAAGATCAGACCGACCACGTCATGGAGAAACGCAGCGCCTCACAGAGAAACTCACGGAGCAACGCCTCACATGTGCACGGCCATGTGATCGAAGAAGAGGTTTGTCGTACCCTCTGAGACGATCTCACTAGACTCTTCTGGGTGGTAGTGGATGGTATGGCCGCCAGGGACGATTCTTCTTCAAACAGGGCGGTTTTGCACTTCCATGTGAGTGAGTCGGGGTGTAACTACTTAATTATGTTATATTAATTATGTTGATTCCATTGATCAAATTTGATCAATCAACAAACTGCAGAAGATGGAGATGTTTCACATTGTTTGACCATCCAAAAGGCAGGTTCTTTTTGAAAGCAACAAGCAACATCAAGCAACGTTAATGTTGAGACTGGACCGACGTGATCGTGTTTCATTTTGTCGTTTGTGGTGCGGTGTGCGAAGGAAGCTTTTCCACCTTTACTTGTAGCAGTTGGTTGATGAAAGAAATCCTGCTCCACCTTGAATACCAGACCCAGGGCATTTAGGTACCACTATAGCTGGTAACCAGTGTTCCAAAGACTAAAACATACTAAAACTATAGTCCTAGAAACCTTGGTTCCTTGTATAGGGATAACTGGGATCCACTCCAAGAAGCACTGCACAACTACCTCACTACTTCCATAGTTCTAGTGAACACCCGCGTTTGTTTATGTCTTGCATCCACAGCGCTGGTGCTCTTCATTCCTTCACCTCCCTTAGCGTTAGCGTTGACATCCCTTAACCTCCAGTCACTGCAAAAGCAACACATGTGAACTCACGCGGAACCACACGTTGGTCTACCGGTGAGGGCAGTGGTCTACGTCTGGAGCGCTTGCCAACAATGTGCGCGGAGGCAGGTCTCCAAGTGCCTTGGTGCCCACTGGGTGTTGCGGATCGGAACTGGGTGAATCCCCATGGGGAAGACGATATTTCCCCGGCTTCGATGGCCAATCCCAGTTGGGACTTCAGGTGGATTTTTCGGGTGCCCCCCCCCCCCAAACCCGTCTGGTAGTCCAGTGTCGTCATGTTCTGATTATATGGAGTTGGGTTCGGATTTACATGAGGTTCTTAGTGTTCGGGTGTTGTGTGAACTACAACAACAACTACTACTACTACTACAACTACAACTACTACTACCACTACTACTACCACTACCACTACGACTACTTCTACTACTGCCACCACCACCACCACCACCACCACCACTACCACCACCACCACCTACTACCTACTACCTACTACCTACTACCTACTACCTACTACATACTACATACTACATACTACATACTACATACTAGTGTTTCTGAAGCCGCAGACCGACCATACTCCACTATAGACTATACATCTATTTTTTGTTTTACTCTACACATACATTCCTGGTTGTGCCAGTCTTGCATCACCTGTCCGGGTTATGCCATTCTTGGCACCAAGACTCGGCTGGCCCAGGGGCGACCAAGACGTGTTCATGTTCAACCAGTGGGGCAAGTCCTGTCGGTACATCCACTGAGTAGATCCATTGTAGGGCTTGGTTGGTCATAAGACCTTCTCACAGGTTAGGGGACTGCACATGACTCCACTGCACTGATGGGCTGAAGCCACCAATCTTGGAGATCAGCCAGTTTGAAGGGCAAAACGGGTGGGATGAAGGGTTTGTGGTTCAGGAAGTGATCATGTGATGCTTCGCTCCACATCTTCTGGGAAATTTGGGGAGATTTGCATCTTTGTTTAACCGCAAGGGGCCATTTTGGTCGATGGTTCTGTCATGTTCTGTCCATGTTTTTTTTTCTTCAAGCATTTGCCTTCAATCGCACCCAGCTTGATCATTCCCCATTTCAAGCCAACAAGCACTTCATCCACTTGAAGATCCTGCCTTCACATGCCTTCAGCCCATCCTACCTAAATAAGTGGCCAATTACAAAACTGAGATGCCAACATTGTGCTAACATGTTCTGCCTTCACAAACAGATTCTATGTACTATGTATCCTAGATGCTCAAATCATTGCAACAAATTACTAGATGTCACTGTCCACTGCCAGTCACTAGATGTCAGTCATGGCTGTCGATGGACAGAGCCTCCCAAGGAATCGAAAACGCTTCACCGAGGGCGACTTCGATCTGGCGCGGGGCGACTTCGACGTCGATGCGGGGGCATTTGGATGGGTTTGGTGTACGGTGATGGGCGCCGTGATTGGGGTGATGAGGACTTTTGCCTGTAGTCCCAGCGAATTGTTTTTGCGGTATTAAACATATATATATATATATCGAGATCTATATTGAATGTAGTAGACAAGTAGAGTGGATCCCTGGTCTTTTTGGGAATCGAATGATGTGGACAATTTATTTGGTGTCCTTTTAATTTTGTGGTGATTCCCTGGAATGGTCTGCTCAGAGTCGAGTCCAAACTGGAAGGAACTGGAAACTCAAGCTTTGAAGGTGGTGAGTGAGATTAGCCGCTAGCTTCAGCTTGGTGTGCAATTGATGGAGGACATCCACATCTCATGACCAGACCGGGTTTGATCATTGGGTTCTGGATCAAGTGACAACTGTTCATTGCACGTGTCCGTCAAAGTCACAGGGTGACATGTCCCAGACCGCAAGTGTGTGTGTGTGTGTGTGTGTGTCTTTTCGGTGGTTCTAAAATTTCCTGCCTGGGACCGCATGGATGAATTGGAGAAGCCGTCTTGGTGTCCACCGTTTTCTGTGGCAGAACTGAACAAGGCTAACCTTTCTGAAGACATGGTCAGGATGACTTCTTCGCTTCTTTTTCTGGGAACGCCTGGTGACCACGCACCGCTTGCCTTGGGGAGGATTTGGCATACATCTCCGGGAGGATTCTGGCGATGAGCTTTCCAGCACAAGACCTGGAGGCGCCGACACGTCGCAAGAGCGAAACCGTAGCCGTAGCTGCACTGGACTGAAGGTCACAGACGGCACTTGACTGTGCTTGTTCAAGTGGATGTGGAGTGGACGTGTCAACACGATGTTTTGGATTTTGGAGTGGGATCTAGAGGATGAGGTAGGCATTGACAAATTTATGTTGAAGGATGATACACGCGTGTTCAGCAACTAATATGTCATGTGTTTTACAACAGGGACGTTGTATAATTCATTACTTGTTCTACAACAGCTTGGATGTGGAGCATTTGAACATCAACCATAGAGTCAAACCTTCATGTTTGATGTTCTTGTAGTACTATTTCGAATGGTGTGGTGTTCTTCCGATGTTTGAAACAACTACCTTTGTTGGCACGATGGACTCCAATGGACTCCGGGAGTCTAAAGAAGCTCAAGACAGGTATTGTTTGTTTCGACCTGCATTGGACACCGCGGTACGTTTAAAGCCCTTAGGGACCACCCGCCTCACGCCGGGGGGGAGCACTCCGACGCCACCTTCCGCCGTGGAGACGTGGACGAAGACGTGCGAACAGCTGTGTTCGTACCGAAAGCCAGCTGTTTTGCAAAGGAAAAAGACGCATCTTTTCCTGTGGTACCAACAAAAACACCATGAATTCGTTGGAGTGTAGATCTCATCATGAATTTGCAGAAAACACATCATGAATTCGTTCGTTGGAGTGTAGATATTTTGATTGGAGACCGAGTCATTGTCCGCTCCCATGGTGCGTCACTGTGTGCGTCGTCCGTGCGTTTGAGGCGCAGTTCCGGAACCCCATGGCAGAGGCCTGTGGCGGGCTGTGGCCAGCTGTGGCTGAGGAGGTTCTTTTAGAACGGTTTCCAAGAGAGGTTACATATCTACCAGCATAGACCCCAAACTGCTTCAGCTGGATGCTTTTGCGTCAATGACGTCATTTGTAAATCTTATGGAGTTGGTGGAGAGAATATAGTTATATAATAGGTCTTCAAAACAAACTTCATGAGCAGGAAAATATTCCATAATAAGTTGCTAGGAAGAGATGCATGGGTACACCTTAACGAGAACCTAGTGAGTCACCTACAATCCATTGGATGTGAGCATCTCTTAACAGCGTCAGGAGGTTGTGTTGAAGCGGGGAGGTTGTTGCCTTGTACCTAAGCAAGTCTTACAAGATTCTGTATTGCTGGCAGATGCGATACGCACCTCAGCCAGCCAATCTGCACATGCAATCTCAACCTAATGCAATCCTGAAAGATATAGCCTTCAGACTGAGGACTGTATGTCCAAGAGGATCCTTTTGCCATGGGCCTATCCTTGACAATGACCACCAACCAGTACATACAGCAGGGCACTACGATGCCGCAACGCTAGCAACTTGAACTCTCCCATCCAATGGGACCCAACTCTGGAGGCCCTCCCTTGGACCACTGCAGAAACACTGCAAGAGCGAGCAAGAGCGAGCTCTACCGTCTTGAAGTTCGGATTTCAACGAGCAGAAGGAGCCGCTCGCGACACGGCATCGCTGCGGCATCGCAGTCACTTCCTCCACTGCGTCGATGGCGATGGCATGCCTGCCAAGGTGGATGAAAAACTGGTTCCCACGCTGCGGCTTGGTGTGCTCTTTGACAAAGCCCACGCTAGCTGAATATCTACAGCAGATACTTGACAGGAAAGATGCAGCACCGGGATGGCTGGGCTCTCATCTGTTCAACTTAAAAGGACTTTACTGCACTCATCCCAGATCTGGCACCTATTCCTACGCAGGTAGGAGTATTGATCCCCAAGGCAAAAGCAGGTCTAACTGTCGATTTGTTCGACGTTAGGTACACCTGATACCTTAGACAGACTTCAAGATGGCACACTCGCTGCCTTTATTTCACTCATCACAGGCCATGCTAAATCTCTTTCGTGAACCGCAGCCTTGTGGATCCGGGCTTGCAAGACAGGAGTCGAAGCTTGGAGCAGCGTGGATGAGCTTCTGCCAACACTGTCATTTGAGTGAGTGGACCACCGGGTCAAGGAGAGGTTGGAAAAGCATCATCCTGTTCTTGTGTAGGTTTGGTTTCCCTAGTTATATCAGGGGAGCGCGACCCTGACTATGTCGCACCTATGAAAACCACTTGTGTAGCATTTTGGGCGATGAACAGGGTGCTACCTCGCCAGGTGCAACGCTTCCTACAGAGCCGGCACCCCCAGCACCGCGTCTACAACCTTTGCAAGGAGGAACATCGGAGGCAAGTCCATCAAAAGTGGTTGGCAACATGGTGGGACCCCAGAAATAATAAGACTGCAGGGCACGATGTTGGAAGGTTTGAAGATGTTTCAGCAATTGAAAAGTGTGATCCTTTTTTGACCAAGAACTACTACCCCATGAACCCACTAGAACAAACCACCTGCCTACTCCAAAAACAAGGCATGCCCTCGTGATCCCCCTGCAAGTCAAGCGCCGCTGGTTTTGGTGGGAGAGATGATTTGGGGCGCCTTTTCACCGACAAAACCATCGCTCTCAGAGAGTCTTCACCTGTCCATGGTGCGATGGCTTAGGTCTCGGAAGACCTCCCAGGCCTTCTGACCCCTGGAAGGAGGGAGACATAGACCAGTCTACCAGTCTACCCATTGGAGGTCTTCATTGGTCTTTCAAATGCTCTTACCATCTTCCCTCCCCAAAGAAGGGTGCGAACAAAACGACTCTGGCCAGTTCCGTGACTTCGTGCCTGTCGCCCACTGTCCATCCACTCTTTCAATGGTGTTTTTTTCCGCTGGGCTCGACGCTTTGGGCGCCCGCACGGATCGCTGGCATTCGCTGGGACCTTGGTCGTGCTCGGAGGGTCGACCCCATCCGCAGATACGATGAGACCTCCTTCTGGCAAGTGAGACGCAGGACCGCAGACCGTGAGACCCTGCCGTGGTGTGTGGAATAAAGTTCAGCATCTTCCAGTTGGGAGTGGAGCGAGACATGCGCCCAAGCTGACAAGCTGACAAGCTCTTAAAAGCAGCAGTCCTTTGTACTGGTTTTTGTCTTCTTGGAGAAGGGGTTGTTGTGAGGGGAAGGTTGAGGATTGTACTAAGACTATCTGAGATATCATTATGATCAGTCAAACTATGTTAGATGTTAGTTATATAGATTAATTCTCAAAGAAGCGCACCAAACACAACCGTTTTTTTGGAAGATGTTGCGATATGTTGCAAGCCTTAGCGGTCCTCACCCAAAAATTGTATATCAGAAGACTGAAATATGTTGTTTTTTACAGTTCGAGGCTCCCTGCTCGTGATCAAGAGCTATGTCCGCTGGGAGTGTGATGACATATGTGAAAAGTCACGCTATGTGAACAAGGGAAGACAAACAATTCAATTGACCAGGCCAAACGCGGAGCTTAAGTTTCTTGCTTTGTTCCGAGTTTCGCGTGAAAAAGTGCTGGACGTAAGCTAGAATCCAGGTGTTTCTGCCGCGTGAGCATCTCTGAACATTTCTTATGTGTGTCAAACACGGGAAATATGCGCCGTTGAACAAATAGTTTGAAAGATCAAGGCTTTTGAGAAGCAGATCGTCTCCAGAAAGAAGGAGGCTTTAAGAAAGCATGCAGTTGCTAGTTTGAGCATCCTTTCACAACATAGTGGCTTAAAAGTGGCCCACAGGAGTCCAGGCACATGTCGGTAGAAGACCACTTGGACCAGTCGAAATGTCAAATTTAACCTTGATGTTTTTCTTCATTATCCCGGTCTTCGGCATTTTAAATGTGTTTTGTTTCTTTTTCTGTGTTTCTTTTCAACCCGGCCAACTGGACACGGAAAACCCGCAACCGCTTTCAGCGGTTGTCGCGGCGACGGCTTCGAGCGCAGAATCACCTTCTTCGACCACAACGTGTGCCCGTTGCGGCTGCTCGTGGACTTGGTCGAAGAGCAACATAGGCCACAACGAGCGTGACGGCGAGCGACGCGTGCGGTTGGTGGTTGGTTTGTAAGAAAACTCCCGCGTTTTTGGAGTCGAAGTCGATCCTAAGTGGTAGATATATACCTGGAGCCTGGAACACCTACCAAAATCTATTCGTTTTAGATTGTTTGATCGACCATCAAAAAACACAATCCAAGACCTATGTGCCGGTGTCACAAAGGGCACTCCAGGGATTCCAAAGTGTATTGAATAGCAACACCAAAGTTGCGCCATAAAGTTGAGCGTTTGCGTCGTTTTGTTGATCGTTTGCGTTGTATTTTTGGTTGTTGTTTCAGGGTTCACGCAACGGCGTTGTGTTTCTAGTCGTTTGTGTTGTGTTTCTAGTCGTTTGAGTCGTGTTTATATGTGCTTATAAATGTTGTGTTGTGTTTTTAAGCGTTTGGGTGTCTCCAGCTCGTTTCCGGCAAGGTTTCCACATAGCGAAAGCAGTCCTTGATCTTTTTTGATCGTTTTAGCCAAACACCAAAAAAACACCACACCAATGCCATGTGGCGTCTCAAAACTGATTGGCACTCAAAAAACGGTGATCGTTTGGGGTTCCAGGTATATCATGATATATAATCACACAACCATGTTTATTATTATTGGTGCAGGGTGGGCCGGACGTTTCATTTTCGGTGTTTTTCGGGGAAGTCATGGGGCCGTTAGATGAGGGAAACCTCTCCACGGCTTTCCACGAAGTCGTGTCCTGCGTGCGGTTTCCTTCCTGCAAAGTACAACAACCCCCGTCGTCGGACGTAATCCAATGAGACTTCCTACCTCACACCTGAAGTAGTTTCTGTGTTGGTGTATTCAGTTTGGTTTCGATCTGTTTGAGTACTTTGACACACTTCTTCATCCCCGACACACTTGTTCCCTCTCCGTTCGTCTTACCGAACGCTCGCGCGTTCGGTCCGAGACCTGGAGCCGCGTCGCAGCCAGGTTCTTGGCCGAGGAGCCCAAGAATGTGGTGGTGATCCACTGCAAGGTGCGACGTCATTTTGGTTGGGAGAAACGCTCAAGACGTGGTCATTGCATCAGGTCTTGATGACGTATTACAGGCTGCAGCCAGCCTCACACTGCCTGCAGACATCAGGGGCCTCGCCTTGGCCGTCGGCCTATCATCTGGTTTCAGCCCTCGCGGCTTCACCTCTGAACGTGACAAGCATCATTGTCCAAATGTTGTCAATGTTGCGAAGAGCAGTTCTCAGACGCCAGATCTTGACAGAGCATGGCGCAGCAATTGGTACTGCACGGTCTAACCCACCTGCCCCGCCTGCTGTAGCTATTCCGGTGTTTGGTGCCGGTACAGTCCGGATCTATGGAGGAGAAAGGGCTCAGATGGCTGAGACGTTTCAAGCCGGGCTCAGGTGGTGGCGTTTTCGACAGAAGCCATCCGTTGGCAGCTGGAGCTGGCGGCTGGTTGGCCGGCGAATCGCACAGTCTATGCCGGTGTGGCCGCGAACTCACCGACCCTCATCGCTTGGCCAGAGACTTATCAATCAGCAGGTTATGCTGGACTGGTAGTTTTCATTCGGAAGGGGCTCACTCAGGAGCAAATTGATGCCGCTCCTTATGGAGCAGGCGCAGTAGCGAATGTCACCGCTGGAGGGCCAGGAGGTAACCTCCCTGCAGGTTTGCCTCATCAGACTCCTCTTGACAGAGCGGACATGGCCACCTGCCGCTCGCAGCTGATCAACTATGTATCATTGCTCGGAGTCGAAAAACAGCTGCTTGTCGCAGAGATCTTCTGTGACTCGATGTTTGCAGGAAAACCTGCACTGCCGTTCGGCACCGGCGGCTACACAACGAGTCATTAGGGATCATCGGTGGCAGAGGGCTTGCCACATTGAGGAAGTGGGGACGGCAAATCATTTCATCGAGACGGTGAATGCCGTGGTGGCTGGAAAGGCAGTGCCTCCTCCTCCTCCGAAACCCAAAGGGTTGGCTGCTGTGTGCAGCAACCCCATGCCTGTCGTTTTCGCCAAGCCTCCTGGTGCAAAGTTTGCAGCGATCCCTCCTCCTGGTGCACCCATCAATCCAGTCGCTGGCAATGAGTTGCCGCTATATGCTTGCGCGTAGGCCCTCCGCCGAAGCCAAAAGCTTGGGCAGCCAATCCATCTGAAGCAGGGGACGGCACCGTGGAGATGCCTGTTGTGCCCACGGCAGCGCCAAAATACAAAGCCCTCCCAGCCAATGTGAAGCCTAAGGGCGTGCCAGCTGGGCAGCCACTCGGTCGCCTCGGATGTGACGAGGGTCACACCGATTGCCATGGAAACGCTGCTCCAGACGGGAGTGCCGGGCATCATTACCTCCCGCTTGAGGGCATTTCTTCTTCGCGAGAGACGACTTGCAAGCCGCATCCTGTCCCGCTACCGGGAAAAGGACTCGCGTGATCTCATCAAGGAGCTTTGCTTAGCAAATGCTGTACTTTCCGGAGCGATGAGCGCTGCTGAGCGCAGCCTTGGTCTTTCTGCAGTTTTCATAGCGCCTGAAGATCGCATCCACGTCGGCGGAGCCGGTTTGGCGTGTCAGAATTTGACTGGTGACACGGCCATCGACTTGGACATTCAGGAAGCCGAGTACCGCAAATTGACGTCGGTTGAGCAATCCCCATGACGTCAGTGGGGCTAGAATTGCAGCGGCAACTTGCCTTGAGGTACGGTCTCCCCCTGCCTGTCGCTGTTGCTGACACGGTATGGTATCGCGCTGACGGCCTCAGTGGGTTCAACCCACAAGTTAGCCCCTACTCTTTTGTCGAGCGGCATGACATTCTCCTCTCCGGCCTCAATGTCACCAATGTCTCATCGGCCGAAATGATTTTGGGGTCGATATTGTCGATGAAGCTTTGAGTCGCTCTGAGAAGTTGGGTCCTCGTTTAGCAGTTGATCCTGAGAAGATGGACTGGAGTGAGGTGCTTTGGAATCGAAAATACTTTCCAAATTGTGGTCGAAATGTGTGAACCTGATCCGCCTGGACAAATTTCAAGATTTTGAAGGAATGAAGACAGAGTGGTTTGGAGCTATTGGGACAGGTTATGGTAAGCAAACCAAGCTCAACTATGAAGAGGTGTTGGATTTGAAAGATCATCCAAATCCCAACTACAAGGCAGCCAATGACATCGTGGAGGATTGAAGCGAGATGGTTTGTATTCAAAGCCAATCCGGGCAAAGCACAAAGCATTTGCTGAAATCCGTGATTTGAAGACTGATCTGGAGAATAGCGATCTTGAGATGGAGGACATCAGCAAGTGGTTTGGTTTGAAGAAGGCCGTGATCATCACGGCTTTTGCAAAGAGGGAGGCAGGTTCAGATCGGTGGTTGTTTCAACCAACTCCATCATACGATTTGAGGGCTCAAGTGATACTACATCCCTATATGCATGTGTGGCACAACGGGGATAAGAAGATTGCTGTATCACATTCAGAGCTGCCTTCTCTTGATGATATCTTGAGCAGGGTGAGCGAGTTCAGTGGCAAAGATATGGAGGAGTAGCTTGTGGTGATCATACAGATTTCAATGCTACACATCGCAGATCATCAAATCGTCGATTCTATGAGAGTTTGCGAGAAGTGGAATCCAGGAAGTTGCAGATGCTACCTTGCTTTGAGGAGAGACAAAAATTCTTACGAGATCTATGTGACATGGTTGAGAATAAGATTCTCATCATTCGTGGAGATGATTGCAAAAGAGCAATCAAGAAATTCGAGGATGAAGGTCATGAAGATAGATTTGTGAGGTGTTTCTTCCGAGGCCAACCAGCTGTAGCAGTACTTCTACCTGACGGATTGAGTTCAGCAAAATTGGATACCATGATCAGAAACTCTTACTTGCATTGTGTGTATTTGCAAGTGCAGTGTGATGCCACAAACTTCGTGGTCCGGGAAGTACCGAGACCCTTGTGGTTGAAAGGAGATGATAGTGGTGCTGGCTTTACGTCCAACCATCCTTGTTCACCTGCTATCTTCTTGATTATGGCTGGCAGATCAGGATCTACTATGTCGTGATGAAATCAAAGGCTGGATATTTCGGAGAGGCAGAGAGAATGGTGAGTGATGGGCATATTGGAGCTAGGCCCATGTCCTGCAGCATTCGACGGCTCGCATTCCGAGGAGCTTCAGTGCCTGACTAAAAGTATGGTCTCTGATCTCGCCGCCCTTTTTGGGGCAGTCTGGCATCATGGTTTAAAAGCCAGACAGATGCAAGCCAGAACACTTCTTCGCTAAAAAAGAAAACCCCAATTCGATCTCAGACGGCCGCCCTATAACCATTTTGGGCTACTTGGCACGCCTTGCATCAAAGATGATTTCCGATCAAATCCTACAACAATGGGCCGCCTCTTGGCCCCCGGAAATCAGTGGCGGTTTGCCCCAACGATCTGCGAAAGACCTTTGTATTATGCAACAACTGCAGATCGAACGCGCACAAACCCACCACACTGCTTGGGGGGGGATGGACTATGGACCTCGTTAAAGCTTTCAACTTGATCCCCCGCAGAGTCATCCGATATGTGTTTCAAATCTTGGGCATCCCTCCAAAAGTCTGTGATTTTTTGGTTTTTGTCCCTGACTCGTCTTACTAGAGTTCTCCAAAGTGGTCATAAAATGAGTGAACCATCGCATTCGACGACAGGCCTACCGGAGGGAGACTCATGTCCGTAGTAGGCATGCTGGCCCTCAGTTTCGTTTACCGCATCAAGCTAAAGTCGCCTAAGGTTTTCCCCTACACATATGCCGACAATAGGTCTTTCATGTCAACGTCCGAGCAACAGTGTTTCCGGTCATTACAATCACCAAAAAAATTCAATGACCTTCCCGATAAGAGATTTAAAATGCAAAAAAGCAAAAATGTTTTAAATGAAAATCTTAGCAACAATCATCTCAAAAAAACTCAAATTACTTTACTTCGAGTGGTCCCCACCTGGCATCTACCTAGCATTCTATCTGGCATATCTTCTGGCATTTTGTCTGGCATACTATCTGTCATTCTATCTGGCATATCTTCTGGCATTCTATCTGGCATATTTTCTGGCATTCTATCTGGCAATGTATCTAGCAATCTATCTGACACACTATTTGGCATACTATCTGGCATACCTTCTTGCAGCATTCTATCTGGCAATCTACCTGGCATTCTATCTGGCATTTTCTCTGGCAAACTATCTGGCATACTGTCTGGCATACTATCTGGCATTTTGTCTGGCATACTATCTGTCATTCTATCTGCGTATCTTCTGGCATTTTATCTGGCATTCTTTCTGGCATATTTTCTGGCATTCTATCTGGCAATGTATCTAGCAATCTATCTGACACACTATTTGGCATACTATCTGGCATATCTTCTTGCAGCATTCTATCTGGCAATCTACCTGGCATTCTATCTGGCATACTGTCTGGCAAACTATCTGGTTGAGGTCCAGCGGTGCACACTGCGATCGGATCCTTGCGGTTGAGGTCCAGCGGTGCACACTGCGATCGGATCCTTGCGGTTGAGGTCCAGGGATGCACACTGCGATCGGATC